CATGGGCCCAGGTTTGGGGTTTTCCAGCTGCTCGCCCTACTGTTGCTGGTGTCTCCAAGTTTCTAATGTGGCTTTTCGACTGGGGGTCTTCTGTCTCCTTGATTTCAGGTTAGTGGGCAGCTTTATCCCATTCCTTTTGCTTTTCCCATTACCACAGGATTTTTCTCTCACCCATCCTTACCATGTTAATTCATTACTTCATTCATTAATTCATTACCTCGGCGACCTGCCCTTCCAGATGGGGATATTGATGAGGTCCTCCATTCGAACCTATATCCTCGTATTCTTTGTTTTGCTTGTTCCTTAAGGCATATTTCCTTTGCCTTCTAACCTGTGGGCATCGACAGTCTGACTTGTTCACCATCAATGTTACATGTGCACTTTACCACCAAACCTATCTTCTCTTTTATCAAGATTATTCCTTCCTCCTCAAAACCTCAGCAGCTCGTGAGGGTAATTCCCCCTTTTTGCCCATTTTCCTACCCTTTATTTTTCATCTTTACCCCATCCTGATCCAGATAGACTTCTATGTCCTGTGCATGCCCTTCATTGTTAAATTCCCCACACAGCTTCCTTCCATGGTTGCTGTTCCTGTCTCTTTATCCCTTTGCAACCCTCTTCATCCAGGGATCTCTCACCTTTTACACTCACCAATTGGGTTCATCATTTGATCCAGTTGGTTCATTCCTCTTTGTCCCCTTCCCAGCGTACTTTGTACTGTGTTAACTCTCATTGAATCCAATACCTCACATTTTCCCTAGCTTCTTGTCTTCATCAACCTCTGGAGGAAATCGTACAATCGGGCATGTGAACCAACCCTAACACGTTCATCTCCGATTATTTACGTCTTATCTCAGTTTTGGCTTCCTTGGATTTTTGCCTTCCACCTGTAGCTATACTCCAATCTTCAGTGTGACTCTGACACTGGGTAAGTCGTTATTAATCATTTATTTTCTTTCAGGGGCCCAATCTTCATACCTTCATTACTTAGATCCCTCTCTGTGGCAAGTGGTTGACCAGGTATTTTTTAGGTCTAAATCTGCACTGTACACCATGTTGAATAGCATTTTCTTTCCATGGCTCTGCACATTCACCTTTGAGATGGGGTGTTTCACAAGATCGTTTGTAGTTGAATAACCTCCCAATATTTGCTTCATAAATTGGCCTGTTTCAGACCATACCACCCATGGACTTCATGGGTAAAGCAGAAGGGGATAGCTGCCCATCCCTGCCATGCCTTGATTGAATAAATCGTATGGTCTGCTTTTCAAAATAGGGTTTCGTGACCACCCATTGCACTGTCTAGGGTGTCGATGCTCCTCTGGGCTGTCCAGTGTATTCACACCCTCATTTCTTCTAGTGGAGTATGGAAGTCTTTACCACTTACCAGTTCCAAGCTGCTGGAGTGGTTGACCATGGAGACACCCTGCTGGATGGGTTCCTCTTAAGATGGCTATAACCATTCAGTTCCTAGTAGGGCAGTGGTGTTCTGCCAGCTTAGATGATGTAATATCCTATGATTTGCGATTAAACATACAATGGAGTGAAATGGCAAAATTCAGTTCACCCCTTTGATTGGGAGCCTTCTTTCTACCCTCACGTGGATGTCGGTACCCTGCTGGCTGGTTTTAGTTTTTGAGTGAACCAATCAATTGTAATGGACAGTGCAATTAGGGCTAGTCGTTGGAGTTTTGAATATACTGTTGATTACACCATATTTATTTATTTGAGGATTGCAGTAGCGAGTGGAGCTCACAAGTTGCTAACTCGAGGAGATTTACAATTAGACTAAAGAAACTGATCTTGAGACTGATATCCAAAACAAAACATCAAATTTATATGTTTGGGTTAACAACGCTAATACGTATAACTCATACATAACACCAAGTTTCATGGATTTTATATGTTTCTTTAGAATTTATCTAATTCATATTAATTGATTAAGAGAGAAATAGTTTCATTACTTACAACATAGTTGATCTGGTAAATCTTGACAGTTGAGAAACTTTCATAGCTTCTGGCTTATCAGTGACTCTGGGGAGAATCTCACTTCTTCCTGGAGATAACTGATTTTTAGCTCCAGACATGAGTTTTTAAATCATATTTTCTTTGTGTTCTTTTGACATTCCAAATAGTATTCCTAATTACCCACAAGTACCTCTAACACTTTATTGGCCAATCTGTGCAACTTCTCAGGCAGTTTCAAAACAAGAACCAAAACTCTCAAGTAGTTGGTTACTGTGATGGTGAGTGTTCCAGTTGCCTTTTTAGTTGTATTATTACACTGCTCTGGAGTAACAGATCTCGCATCAAAGCATCAATTTGAGATGTTATCATAAACTTTTTAGTAGCCTTTACTGTACTACTTACTTGGCATCAGTAACTTATCACTGTCAAACTTTTGGCTAGCATTTTTCTCAACATCTCTGTATTAGCTTCATTTTTTATAACTTTTAAGTCGTGATTCACTAACTCATGATTCTCAATGCCAATTAACCAGCTAGCTGTACTTTCGTAGCTCTTGACCTGATTTTGTAACACAGGCATCTTTTACCTACGCCATTTCTTCATGTGTATGTTCACTTAATAACTCAGAAAATCATTATAACTTCTTTCTTAAATTGTTTTAAAATGCTAAAAATACTGAAGCAATTGTAAAATTCCCTCAAAAATATCCTATTGCTTCACAACATAAGTCCTCGCACAGGTTTTGGGTTGTCTGTCTTCCTCATTCGATTTTTCCTGTGTTGTGAGTCACAGTTGAAATATGTAGAACTCTTCTGGTTCTATCTATGGCTCTCCCTCATTCTCTCTTCTTACATGGATGTTATAGCCCTTTGGATGGTCCCGACCTGTTTCATGGTCACGGGAGTTGATTGCATAGACTTCCTTTTGATACCGGATGTCACATTCCCGGATCAATAGCTCAGAGCTCATTCTGTGTAACACCTAGGAATCAGAGTAGTTCTGAATTCCCCAGTTCTTGAGTTTGAGGTGAAGATGGTATGATCCTCATCCTACCCTCAAATGGATGTTGTTGACTTGCCAAGTATGGTCCACCATGACCTAGACACTCTACACTATGGGATACATCCTCATTTACCCACTTTTTTTTTGTGGGATTGAGTTGCTGTATCTTTCTCCCATTAGGATCACTTCCTACCACTTTCTCTCCCGCTAGGATGTGCTCCTCACATTTTCTGCCCTGATTTTTACACATTCCTCAACTAGCCAAAGAGTATACCTGGATCAGAAGTGGTGGGGCTCACCTCTCCAGATCTTCGGATCTGACTCTCTCATCTACAAGGGTATCCTTCGAGGGGTACATTTGTTCTTCCCTTGCACTGGTCCCTCCTCCTATTCAATATAGGATTATAGCTATTCTTGTGAATGGAGGGAAGTACCGTATCGGAAGTTATAAGTTTCCTATACTGAAAATGTATTTCTGATAGGTACTTCCCTCCATTCACACTTCCTACCCTTTCTCCCCACTCACTTCTGGTGCTTCTGTCATCTGCCAAACTTGGAAGTGATAGTTCGGTAGAGGCACCTAGAGGGAGTTACATGCATCACGTGAGGGTACTATGATTTTATTGGTAGATAGGTGATGCATTATGATTTGCATGAGAGCCACATTGGAATTCTTTGATTCCAATAAGGGGATGCGGAAGGCTTGTGGCATGTGTAATAAAAAAGTTCACATATAGAGGGCAGCAATAAACAATATTAGCTAATCTTGTGAGCGGAGGGAATTACCTATCAGAAATACATTTTCAGTATAGGAAAATTATATCTTTTGTGTAGCTTACAGTGTAGTGATACATTTATCCAGTATCAGTACCTGCATCTTCAATAAATGTGAATGTTGTGTAGGCTATAGTGTAGTTATAGATACACTTAGTCAGTATCAATACATGCATCCTGAATAAACATAAATGTTGTGAAGGTTACAGTGTAGTGATACACTTATTCAGTATGAGTACATGAATTTTGAATAAACCTTAATACTTGAATAAACCTAAGTGTAGCATTTACTCAATCGCTAACTCCCTCTCCCTCCCTCTCTCTCTCTCTATATATATATATATATATTTACAAAGTTGAGGAATAACAAGACAATTGTACATTTCACAAGTACATCATTTATTATGACCATAGTTTTGCCAGTAAAGGCATCATCGGGTCATAATAAATGATGTATTTATGAAACGTACAGTTGTCTTGTTTTTTTTATTTCTGTAATTATGGAGTTTCACCAAGTACTGATGATTTCAAGTAACAATTACATACTTTTTTTTTGATAAACCATAAACATTGTTTAGGTCTTGTTGTAGTTGTACACTTAAACAGTGTTAATGCGTCTAATTTGAATGAACATTAAATCTTGAATAAATCTTAATCTAGCCATACACTTACTCATTACCTATACACATATTTTGAATAAACCTTAAATGTTGTGTGAGTCTTAGTGTAGACATTATATACAATCTGTATCAGTACTTGCATTTTGAATAAGCTTTAAACATTGTGTAGGTCTTAATGTAATCATAAACCTCATCATTATCAGTATGTCCTTTCATTAAGGTTGAGTGTTTAGTTTTTTTACATTTCTACATTAACCTCAACCTAAGACTTGGTTATAGAAAATATAGATTTATTATTTATGTATATGCTTATTTATGTGTATACGTATTGATTTTTGTAATATTTTTCACTCTAAATTGTTTAAATAATGTATGAATTACAGAATCCGTGGTTTGAATGTTTAATATTTTCTGTTGTAGAAAATCAAGATTGTCAGACTATTAAGATTAGCCAATAAACCTAAATTGTTTTCAATTTTGTGTTTTTATTATGTTACATTGTGAAGTAGATGATATCACTGTTTCATAAACCCAAATACTATACAACAGGAGAATATAATGGTGATTGAATAAACAAGAAACACTGTTTAGAGTCATCATATATATATATATATAACATTCATTATTTCTATTCAGATAGAAATGATTGGCCATACATTACTTTCCTTCGTTCATCCTGATGATGATGATTATGTTCGTCAGCAGTTCCAAGATCTGCCGGTTCGAATGGTCCTAAGAAATGGTATGTTGTAACTTTATTGCTTTACTGTGATCAATTGTAGAGAAGAGAAACTTCTGTTATGGTTATTCTGGGATCTTTATTTGTTAATAGTCTTTTAGTACTAGATTACTATATTTTCAGTTGTTAACTTATAGCCAACAGAAACTTTTCTTATAGTTACCATAAACTACCTTTCTCAATGGATCTTCAGAAGAACTTCCTGTATTTTATAGATGTTAATACTTAAAACTGTTAAGATTGGTTATCAGGAACTGTGTTTTGGTGAAAACAGTTTCAGTAAATAAGTAAGGCCTGGCATGGCCTGGTAGTTAGGATGCTGAACTCGTAACCTGTGGGTTGCTTTCAGGACCAGCCACTTGAATGTAAGTATTCTTGGCTGAAACAAAATACCTGAGTGGCCAACCCTAGATCTAGATGGGATTAAGGTCAAATGAAGAAGTTTCAGTAGGAAAAATACTTTTGCTACATGAAGAGAGAAGTAGATTTTATAAAAATTAAAACTTCTTTACAACCCATTTGAGAACAGTGCGAAAATAGGAAGAGGTCACTACTTGTCCCCTGGTTTCTCCTGCCAAGGAGTTTCTGCAGGACAAAGTATCTCTACTCATAAAGATGGAATTATGCTGCCAACCAATGTTCTCATTTTGACGTTTACATCTTCATGTCTGCCTGCCACTGTCAAGGCAGGTTATCTTCATTATGAGGTATGGCCATATATTCCTAACCCTCTCTGGTGTTTTCAGTGTCAGAGGTTTGGTCATTCAAAGGCATCTTGTCATCATTCTGTGACATATGCTTGTTGTGGTGGCAAAGACCATGATGCCTACAAGTGTCAACTGGACCCTCACTGCATTAACTGTAATGGTTCCCATCCCTCTTACTTTCGTTCTTGTCCTAAGTGGGTGGAGGAGAAAGAGGTACAGAGCTTAAACTGTCAATACCATTTTGTACCCTGATGCTTGGAAGTTATTGTCCCCTGCTGCATCTTGGACATATGCTGCTGCACTACACTTCACTGCTACAGTTGGTGTGTAGTCAGACCTTTCTGTGCCTCTGTCAGAGTCTTTTTCACACTTTGTCCTCCGTGGATAACTGAGTTGACAAGTCCATGTCTACTCATATCTCTACCCCCTCTTCATTCCTTCCAATGACTCTCTGGGTCAACTTCCTTTGGCCCTGGTTTCCGGTGTCTTCTCAGGTTTTTCTTCTTTGGCCTCGAGGTGCAGAATGATTATTTGTTCATGCCCTCAGTCGCTGGTATCTACGTCTACTGACAGAGGCCTGCCCACTCGACCCAGGGCAGGATCCATGGAGGTCAGCAGACCTCCTTCTTTTGAAGAAAAATGGCGTGGTCATAAACAGAAGGGTACTCTGTCCATTTCTCCTCCACCTAAGTAATAATGGCCACTTTGATACAGTGGAACTGTTGAGGTTTCCATTTTAATCTGGATGGCATTAAGGTCTTGATTGATTCCTATCATCACATGTGTCTTTCCTTAAGGAAACATTCCTGAAACCTGCTCATACAATCACCTTTCAGCAGTTTTCTTTATACCGGAATGACGTGTTGTGTGATGGATGAGTGCATGGAGGGGTGACACTACTAGTCGACCAGCATGTGCCCACCTTGTCTGTGCCACTCAGTACACCCTTGGAGGCCATAGCCATCCATATCTCCTTGGGTCATAGCATCACTGTTTGTTCTCTTTACCTGTCTCCTGGGGAGACTTATGGTCAGTGAGACCTTGCTGTTCTCCTTGGATACTTGCTGTCTCCCTTTACAGAGTTGGGTGTTGCTGATATTGATCGGAGAGGGTCATTTTGTGGAGTGTATGCTCTCAGATTATGGCCTGTCCCTCTTCAATACTTGTTCTTTTACATATTTTCATATGCCTAGTCAATCTTTTACTGCTGTTGATCTATCTATCTGTTCCACTTCACTTTTCTCTTGTTTTTCTTGGAGGGTTGACAGTAACCCTTGGGGCAGTGATCATTTTCCTGTAGTTTTGAGGGAGATTGGCCGTGGTCAATGCCATCTGACCTGAGTGGCACAGTGGAAGTTGGACCAGGCCAACTGGCTCTCTTTCAATTCTCTCTCTCAGAAATTGATCCTGCTGTCGTTAGTCTACCATCTATTAAAAACTGCATGGAAGCAGTAACTGATTACATCATTCAAGCAGCTGTTTGCTTTATACCTAAAACCTTGATACGTTTCCCATGGTATTCTCTTCCATGGTAGTCTCCAGCCTGCCAGGAAGCACAAAATGCTCAGAAACAGGCCTGAGATACCTTTTGCAGGCATCCCACTCTTTCTAACTGCTTTGCTTTCCAGACATGAAAACCAAAAGGAATTTTGGATTAAGTTTACATCTAGCATCTCTTCTACCACCAGTTCCAAAGTCATATGGGACAAGATTCAGAAGGTCAATGTGTGGTATGCTTCCCACCACCTTTCTATCTTGCTCTCCAATGATCAGGAAGTTGTTGATGTACAGAGCATTGCTGATACTCTTGGCAAAAACTTGGCTTATCTTTCTAGCACTTCTGTCTCTTCCTCCTGCTTTCTTGGCCATCAAGTCTCGGACAGAGTGATCGCCTCTTTCCTTTCGGGTCAAACATCTCTATGACTGTAATTGCTCCTTTACACTGGTGGAACTCCAGCTTGCTCTTTATCGGTCTGGTAGTACACCGATCGGACCTGATGATCTTCACTATGAGATGCTGCTCTGGCAGGAGAACATTTTTCTTGATGCTTGGCACCAGGCTTTTGTCCTCCCTTTCTCTAAGCCTGGGAAGGATCCCAAGATTCCTTCTAATTTTTGTCCAATTGCTTTGATTTGCTGTCTCTGTAAGGTCTTAGAGAGGACGGTTAATGCTCGTCTTGTTTGGTTCCTTGAATCAAACAACCTCCTTTTGCCCACCCAGTGTGTGCTCTATCGACAGTGCTCCACCATAGACCACCTGATTCATCTTGAAACCTCGATCAGGGAAGCCTTTCTTAAGAGGGAACATCTTGTTTCTGTTTTCGTCGCTCTTGAGAAGGCTTACAACACTACGTGGGTGGAGGTACAGCATTTTGCAGGACCTCCACTTATATGGGTTGCATGGCCATCTACCCATTTTTATTCAGAACTTCTTACTCAACAGGTGATTCTGCATTTGTGTGGGTTTGACATTTTCCCATTCTTTCACACAGGAACTTGGAATCCCTCAGGGCTGTGTTTTGAATGTGACACTTTTCAGTATCAAGATCAGTGCTATCACTACACAACTTCCTCCTACTGTTGCTAACAGACTTTTATGTTGACAACTTCCACATCTCATGTAGGTCGTCGAACATGAGGTTTATTGAGCGACAGCTTCAGACTTCCCTCATTCGCTTATTGAAATGGATCACAGCAAACAGTGATACCTTTTTTTTTTCCAAAACCGTTTACATGAATTTTTTGCCTCCAATAGGGTGTACACCCCGATCATGAGCTTTGTCTTGGTGATATTGTTCTTCCCATGGTCCCTGAGGCAAAGTTCATGGGGCTTATCTTTGACCATAAGCTTACTTTCATTGCTCACATAAAGCAGCTACATGTCACAGGACACAACATTTTCAATAAGGGAGGTTGTTGAACCATCTAGTGTTCTATCACAATTAGAAAAAAGTAGTAGAAATATAGGAAAGCTCTGAAACTACACCCTAAACCAATCTGGAACAGTGCTTGTCCTCATCTACAAAATGAAGGATGTGGTATATGAAAGATAATCTTTCAACCCAAACAGTAATAAAATGATACTGGCCATATCTTCTGGAACCCTTAGCAAGATGATAAACAGGGGTTTGGGATTGATTAAAGCTTACAAGCTTCTAGCTACACCTCCAAGTCCTTGACTGTTTTCAAGAGAGAGAGAGAGGGGCTGAAGGAACTGGAATCACAACAGTCCGACTTTACCACATACATCTAAAGTTCCCTGATGTAGTTGCAATGGACTTTGTTTTTTGCTTGTGATCTACTTAAAAGTATTCTAGGAAGCCAACACCCATGTACAGTGGAGGGCCTATGGAATCTGTCAAGTTGTGTGGTTCAATATTAACTTTTGTGTCATTTGCAGAAACATGTTACAGTAGACATTGTGATGTTGGGCAATGGTGATTAATTAGGGTCATCATTTACTATTCATTACATTTTTATAGCTTCACCTGTAATGTAATTGCTGAATTGAAAATGCTAATTTTAAGCCTCAGTTTATAAATAAGAGAGTTTTCTTATTTATACGCTATTTTTTTGTGTTGGAACTTTGGAAATTTGGTTATGTTTAAAATAGCATCTTTTCTGGAGAACAGTATTAATAAAGCTGTTTTACCTATTTTACTGATTTAAATTTTCTTAGGTATACTAAACTATAATAAATTTTTTGGTTGCCTGATTTTTTGTCTTTATAGAGAAACAGTGGGTGGATACAGGATGCAGCAAGATAAGTCTTAGGGAATGGTCTTTTTCTTGAAGGAGCAGGAACACATTAATAATAGTCATAAGTCTGTGTAGGCTTAAAGCATATAACACTGTATGGCAGATCCTATTGTTTATTATAACTTGGAGTGTGAACATTTCATTTCTAAAAGAAATCTTCACATATTGACCAATTTTTTCTGTACATATTGTGCTTGTGTTCCTTGTACATTAGATGAAAACAAATATCAAAAAATTGACCTATGTGCTGGTTTAACCTGTATATTGGTTGATTGAAGTTATTCTCAAAGAGATGATTTTTTTAAATGCACAAAGAGTTAATGGTCAGGGTCAAGAATTATCTGACCAATTTCAACAACATAACCATCAGAGGCAGTTTTCATCTTTTAGTAGTAGAAAGTGACTTAGGAAATTGGTGTAATTTACAAATCAGTCATCAACATTTTCAACAATATTCACTAATGATAGACATATAAAATAATGTTTTTACATATATCTAAATTATATTATTGTTTGTTGAAAAATATTGTATTACAATTATTTGTATGTGTTCAGTCTCATTTGGTAAAAGTTTGATGTAAAATTGATGAAATTTTATGTAATCAGTTTTGGGTTTTGGAATCAGTTTTTATTAAGAGTTAGATATATAGAATATTAAGTGAAGTTTTTGGAAGTCTTACAGTCTCTTCAATGAGTAAATCAAGAGTCTGGTATTTGAAACAACTTGATTGAGTAGCCTTAAGATTGGGTAGTTATGCTTGATTCTGGTATTGTTTAGCAAATTGAAATATTTTGTACAAGTGGCTGATAAAACAGTTACTCAAATCAATACACGGGCTGTTTGTCATTGTTTTAGTTGGAACAGTGTAACAGTAATATTTAGATACCACATGTACATTTTCATGGCCACCTTAACACTGATAGGATAAAGTAGTGTTCCAAGATATTGGGTGCTAATATCCATCATATTTTTCTGTTTTTATAATTTAAAAATATTTTATAATTTAGGAAAATTAACGTGTTTATCGAAGATCAGTTTTCATTGCCGATTAAGAGAACACAACCAGCCTCGTTCAGAGATTTTAACTTATCAGCTAGCTGAAATAAAAGGACACATTGAAGGAGAAAATGACCTTGACTCAACAGGTAATTTTCGTTTGTTTTAGATTTGGTAGCACACTATAATATTTTAAGTCTCACTATGATAGCTAGGTCTTACTTTTGATCCATCAGGTAATTTTAGTTTGTTTTATATTTGGCATTATGCTATAATACTTTATATAACTAATTTTAAAGCCATTTCTGATCTATATTCATTGTAATGGTAGAAGTTGTGTTGATCCTACATTGCACTATAATTGATTTTGTATGTATTTTATTGCTGTCTATATAATAAAACACTATTTAAAAGGATGTATCTATATATACACAAGTTTGTAAGAGATATGGTAAATATTTTAGAGCTAGCTGGTACTGTATATGGAGATATCATATTTCAAGAAACTTTGTTGCTTTCATGTTCTTTCATTGCAGGTAGTAACTCACAGATATTATTTAAAGCCTTTGTACGAATCATACATTCCAGTCCCCTGTCAGAAGTGTCTCTGCCCGAAGCATTGCAAGATGTTTATATAACACGTCATAAATTGGATGGCACTATAATTTACACGGACCACAGGTTGGTAACGAGAACTTTAATTGCTGCTTTTCGAAAATTTCAGAAGTATGCTAAAATGTAAATTTTAGTGTTTTTTTGTTTTTTTTTGCTGTAAAAATTCTTTTATGTTCCTGATGTTGCAGAAAATATTTATTTTTTGCTCTTCAAATACTGCTAACATAGATTTCCAATATGGTACATTACCTCCTCTCACATAAATAGCTATTCTTGTTCAGTGCTGCCCTCTAAATGCAAAAAAAATTTTTGCATGCCACAAGCCTTGAGCTCCCATGTACCTTACAATCAACTGATTCAAATGCATCTTGCATGCAAATCATTATGTGACAACCCTCCACCAATAAGAGTGCATTCTCCTAATGCATGTGACTCCCTCTATTAAATTCTACCAAACTGTCACTTCTTGTTTGGATTACTCATGTCAAGACGTTTTTTTTTGTACTCCTCGAATTTAATCAAGTTCATGATTTTGTTTTAGTTATTACCTACTCCTTATGAACTTGCCGAATTTGTTTGGATCAACAAGGATTTTGACAGCCTTTTTCTGTCACCTGATTTTGCCGTGTCTTCCTATGCTCCTACTGCGGAATCAGCTAGGCCTAATACAGCTTTTGTAGACATGATTTCTCGGATATGCTCTATTTTATCCATTTTCCCACTTTCGTTTGATCCCTGTCCCTCTTTGTTACATGATACCTCCTCCTCTCAGTATTGGTTCCCCCCCTTCCCCAGATATTAGGGTTCATGCTGAGTATTTTGTTTATCAGATGTTTCAGGGTTCCAGCATGCCTCACCCTCCAAGGGCTTTGGATCAATTTGCCTTGGCCTACCATCAGGCTTAATGTCCATTTCTCGACTATCAAAAGTTACAATTGATTTTACCTGTGTGGGGGACGGACCCAGATCATCCTGTTCGTTTATCCCATGCCCAACTTTCCTGCTTTCATCTTACCCTATAGACTCTCTTACAGTACTTGTCTACTATCCACCTCCTTTCTGAGGCAATCCACAGAGATCCTAAGTGTTTGTCTTCTTCGGTTCTAGCCTTACACACGTGGTTTCTCTGTGGTTGGGATCTCCTGGGGAGGGACACAACCTTGTCCCAGGTTCATTTACCGCCTCCTTATCTCCGGGACTTATGTATGGACCCTTTTCTTCAGTGTAATATTCCTGAGACTTTGGAATATCGTGTGGAGTTGGTGTGACAGCACACTACCTTTTCTTCTTTGGTGGATTGCTTGTCGCAATTTGAGCATAGAAATGCCCCTATTATTGTTTCTCATCCAGCTCCTTCTTAGTCTTTACCTGTTCCTCCATTCAGGGGTTCCTCATTTCATCATTTTATTTGATGCAGATGGACGCATTGCCAACAGCATCAGTGACTACCTAGTGGGTTCTGGTCCAGTGGGGACTTGTTTATCCAATTATGTTCCCCTTGCCAGGGTTATTCAGGTTTTATCCGAAGGACTTGTCACACAATTTTTTTCTCCTCCTCCAATATCTCAGATACTCATTTCTTTTACATTGCCTCGGGATCCTACCACCAGTCAGCATCTGTTCTAGGCATTACAAGATCTTCTCTCCCAGCAGGCCATCGAATCTGTCAATCATCCTTTTCCAGGTTTTTATCCCAGGCTGTTTGTAGTACCCAAGAAAACCAGAGACTGGTGGCCTCTAATTGATTTGTTTCGCCTCAATCAATTTTTGGTTCCACCCTGATTTCCCATGGAGTCTTTTCTCCCCCTCAGGTGGGCTTTTTCTCGAGGTTTGTGGATGACCAAGGTAGACGTCATGAATGTTTACCTGCATATCCCAATATCTAGTCAGTCGAGAAGCTATCTTTAGTTTCTTCATCATGGGATAGTATATCAATTTCACACCCTGTCCTTTGGGCCTCATATCTTTTTTGTCTAGTGTTCAAGGGTTGCACTTCCATCATTACATGGATGACTGATTTCTGTTAGCTCATTCCAATCACTGCCCATCACTCATCGGGTGCTCCTGGAGGTAGCTCATCTCTAACTGGTTAACTAAGTTTGAGAAGTCATTCTTTATACCTCCCAATATCTTAACCATTTATGTTTTTGTTCTTTTACACTCATCTCAGTTGGGCCCAACCTTCTCCTCTTCGAACTTCATTCGATGGATCTTTCAGTTCTCCATGTCCTTACTGCTCCCTCTCTTACAGCTCATAAGGTTCTATCACTTTTGGGGTTGTGGTCTTCCATGGAAGCCCTTATCCCCTTGGGTTGAGCACATAAGCAGTCTCTTCACTGGACTCTCCATGACCAATGGAATCTTGCATGGGATCCATTAGAGGCTCCTATTTCCCTTCTTCCTTCCCTTGTAGACTATCTGCATCGGTGGTTGAACAAGGCTCACACATTGGCAGATGTTCCACTTCCTCCCCCTCATCTGGATTTACATCTCTTCATGTGCGCTTCAGGTCAGTGGGCTCTGACCAAAAGATCTTACCACATCAACATCCTGAAGCTTTTGACTGTATTTCATGCCTTGGATCATTTTTTTCATCTTGCCAGAAATCATCTGGTCATGATCCATTCCAACAAATCTACATCTATCTCAATCACCATGGTGGCACCCATTCTTGTTCCCTTTGTAGTCAGACCTTGAATCTTTTTAGGCCTACATGCTCGATATTTCTATCATTGTTTTCCTGTCCAAACAAAATTTACCCAACAGGGTGGTCTCTCGATCCTCTTGTTTTCCAGTGGCTGTTATGTCTTCAATGGTGTACTCCTCACCCGAATGCATTTGCCACATCTCTCAATACCAAATTACCTCTGTTTTGGTGTCCAGTTCCTCATCCTCTTGCTCTGGCTGTCAATGCTTTCAGTCAAGATTGGACCAATAAATACCTGTATCTTCCCATCTGTCAACTTCACAGGGTGATCTCAATCATCTATGCCACTTTGTGTCAAGTCTTTCTAATTTCTCCTTATTGAATGGCACAATGGTGGTTCCCACAGCTGCTCCAGCTCCAGTCTGCCCTTCCATTACCTCTTACTCTATCCCTTTTACATCATCCTCAGTCACCAGCATTTCATTCAGCTCTTCCTATCCTTTATCTTTATGCCTGGTTTTTATATGGTCCCTGGCAAGGAGATCTGGGTTTGCCCCGAAGGGTAACTTTTTTTTTAACTTATTCCATTTGCCCTTCTTCTAGGGATGTTTATCAACGTCAATGGAACATTTTCTGCCATTGATCTTTGAGTCGAGGGTTTTCACCTGCTAGACCCACGGTTCCTCATATTATGAATTTCTTCACTTGGTTCCTTGATCAGGGGTCTTCTGTCTTCTTGATCTCAGGTTATCTGACTGCCTTATCCCACACTTTTTTGTCCCCAGTACTGTATAGTTTTTAGCTCTCCTACCCTTTCCCTCTGGTTGCGTTCCTTCTGGATTAATCATCCACCTTCATGTGTTTTCCTTCCGGATTTTGATATTAATGTGGTTTTTTCACTGCCTCGCTTTGCCTCTGTTTGAACTGCTGTCCTCGTATTTGTTTTTCCTCTTGTCCCTTAAGACTTATTTCCTTCTCCTCTTAGCCTGTGGATGTCGTTGCTCAGACTTATTTGACATCATCATTTCAAATACTTTTATTTCATTCCACATATATATTCTCCTTTATCTGGATCAATCTTTCCTCCCAAAAACTTCAATGGCTTTGGAGGGTAATTCTTCCTTCTCACCAATTTCCCTTCCATTTCTCAGGCTTATCTTTGGTTAGTTCTGGATAGGCTACTGTGTCCTGTCTGTGATCTTTGTTATTATGTTGCTCGCACACCTTCCTTTTGTGGTTCCTATTCATTCCTTGGCAGACATACTCTCTTCGTGACCTTTCTCCTTTCACCCTGACCAATTGGGTTGGGCTTTTAATTAATTGACTGCTGGTGTAGATAATGAGATGTCCTTCACTATGTATAATTGGAGTGAGTCATCAAAATTGCAGTTCACCTGTTCTTTTGAGATCCCTCATCTTACTCCCATGTGGATGTCAGTTTCCAGTGACTGTGTTTTGGATTTAGAGCTGAACCAATCAAGTCCTCACACATGTATTACAGGTGTCTCTGTTTCCTCACTCAGTTATACTCTTCTTCCTCCATCTGTGTTGTAGGTCACGATAAAGGTATTTGCAGAGTAATACGGTTCTTCCTCTTACGGTACCCCTTGATGATTTTATTATACCAAGGATGTTATTGCACTAGGGGTGATTCCTGTCAGTTTTGTGTTGAGTGAGATGATTTACATTACAAAGACATCTTTATGATATCAGAAGTTGGGTTCTCAGATCAGTTGATCAATTACTCATATTGCTATTATGTGTCCTGTTCATAAATCGGGGGTCTGAGATTCCCTCCATCAGAGGAACATGAGGTGAAGATGGTATGATCCTTTTTCCTATCCACACCAGATGGCTGGATTTTGGATTGTAGTTGACTTGCTGCTGGTATGATCCTCTTTTTTTTTATCTGCACATGGATGTCGGTTCCCAATGGCCTGGGTTTTGGATTGTAGTTAACTTGGTGGCAGTATGATCCTCTTTCCTAACCTCACATGGATGTCGGTTCCCGGTGGGTGGATGTGGGATTGTAGTTGACTTACCAATGGTATGATCCTCATCCTACCCCCACATGGATGTCGGTTCCCTGGAGTTTGGATGTAATTGACTGATTGTGTACGGTCCGTTACACCCTAGCCAATCTACACCTGGAAGCACATCCTTTTACACTCACCCACATTGATGTACTCTAAAGAATTGAGATTCTAATATTATGTGGATTGGATCTTTATCCAACCATTGTTTTCTCCCCTTTTGGGTGTGCTCCTCCCATTTTCTACCCATGTCTGCAACACCTCTTTCCACACTGGGCAAAGAGTATACCTGGTACAGAAGTGATGCAGTTTCCCACATATGATCCTCTATTGCAAAGATCTACTCTTTTTAGGGGGTTCTTTGGATGCTTTCAAAGGGTGCTTCTTTCTTTCCTTCACACACCAGTCCCTCCACCTTTTCAGTGTGAGATTCTAGCTATTTATGTGAGAAGAGGTAATGTACCATATCAGAAGTTATAATTTTCCTAAACTGAAAATATATTTCCGATAGCTACTTACCTCTTCTCATACCTCCTACCCTTCCTCCCCACTGAAAGCTAGTGCTTCCATTTTCTGCCAAAGCTTGAAGTGATAATGCAGTAGAATCGAATAGAGGGAATCACATGTGTCAGAAGAGTGTGTCACACTCTTATTGGTGGAGGGTTGTCACGTGATGATTTGCATGCAAGATACATTTGAATCAGTGGATTGTAACGTAAGTGGGAGCTCAAGGCTTGTGGCACGTGGAAATGTTTTTTACATATAAGTACGTATAAGCAATATATTTTTAATATAGAAAAATTAAAGCTTCGTTTATCAGGCTACAATTTTACCCACTATGTGAATAAAACTAACTAGCCTGTACTTTTCAGGTCAACTTTTGATACCCCTTTAAAAACAGGAGTTGCATTAATAACTCTCCAATCCTCTACCTCTGTTCATTTTTTTTTTAAACATTAATTATGCTATTAGGTTTTTGAACTGAAGCTTCCTCATAGCAAAATTTGTAGTTAGCTATTTTTGTAACATTGACATTTTTTAAAGTTGCCCAGGATTGTGTATGAGAATTACAATATTTTGGAGAGAACATTTGGGAGGGTTAATAATGGCTGGAGACGGCTTGAATGGGTAATTAAGAAAAACTTTAATATAAGTTTAACATAAAATCAAATGTACAACGTTTT